AAGTGGTAGAGTGCTAGCCTTGAGCTGAAGAGCTTAGGGACAGCGCCCAGGCCCAGAGTTCAGGCCCCATGACCGGACCCAAAAAAAAAAAAGGCAAAGATGAAGACCAGTTAAATTTTTGCAGGTCACAAAACCTCTAATATCATTCCTTCATACTTCTTTCTCTGTAATATAACCTTTTGTTGACCATTTTATAAAATCCTTCGGAGAGAAAACAGTATCTCATTCTAACAGAACACCGTTAATATAGACTTTAGAACAGACTTGTGTGGTCCCTTGTGTTAGAGGCCAGCCTTTGGGGAAAAGGGTGTTTCACATTGTTTTTGGTGCTATGTTCTACATTGGTACAGTTAGTTATACATAAACACTGGCAGAGGAGCTGCGGAGTAGGTGAGTGTAGAATGCATGGTGGACATGCACAAGCACTCTCACTTGGATCCCTATCACACTCGGGGACCTTTTCTTAGACATGGTATAAAGATTAATATGTGCTGGGTGGTGGTGGCTCCTGCCTCTAACCCTCCCTACTCAGGAGGGTAAGATCTGAGGGTTATGGTTCAAAGCCTGCCCATGTAGAAAACTCTGTGAGACTCTTAGTTCCAGTTATCCACCAGAAAACCAGAAGTGGTGCTGAGTTCAAGCCCTACAACCAACAAAAAGAAAACCATAATCTGTATTAAAACATAGCAATTTTCTATATCTTAGTACATCAGAAATTTCCTTTGTAATAATTTCAGCTACAGGCATTTTATAAGTGTTTATTCCTCCTTAGTGCAACTGCAAAACTCTCAAGTGTTTTTTAAATTAATATTTGAGTTTTATAATTTTTGTTTTCTTTTTGTTGGTCATAGGGCTTGAACTCTGGCCCTGGGCACTGTTCCTGAGCTCTTAGCTCAAGGCTAGCGCCACAGCACCACTTCCAATCTTCTCGTGGTTAATTGGAGATGAGTCACATGGATGCTCCTGCCTAGGCTGATTTTGAACCCTGATCCTTAGATCTCAGCCTCCTTAGTAGCTAAGATTACAGGCATGAGCCACTGGCGCCTGGCTATAATTTTAATGTTTTGAATTTTTTCTTCTTTCCTCAGCAAAGAAAGAGTAACAAGAAGGTGCGGGTGACAGTGAAGCCCCACTTGCTGTACAGAGTAAGTTCCTGTGGGAGGATTCAAAGTAGTTGCTGTGACGTGGAAAGGATAAAAAGAACAAAAATAAGGCTAGGAAGGTAGCTCTGTGGTAGCGTGCTTGCCTTGCATGCATGAGGCCCTGGGTTTGATTCCTCAGCACCATATAAGCAGAAAAGGCCGGAAGTGGTGCTTTGGTTCAGGTGGTAGAGTACTAACCTTGAGCTGAAGAGCTGAAGGACAGCGCCCAGGCCCAGAGCTCAAGTCCCATGACCAAAAGAAAAAGAAAAAAAATTTAAGCTGGGCATGGTACTGCATACCTATAATTACAGCACTAGGAAGTCTGAGGCATGAAAATCAAGAGTTCCAAGCCAGCACAGGCAGCCTAGTGAGAACAAGACCTATCTAAGCTATGTAGCAAGACACTGTTGCAAAACAAAAAAAAAAAAAGTTTCATGGTACCAGGGAACGTTTCCATTGCAGTTCATCTCTCCTTTTCAGCCTCTAGAGCAGCAGCACGGCGTCATTCCTGATCGCGATGCAGAATTCCGTCTCTTCGACCGCGTTGTAAACGTCAGAGAGGATTTTTCAGTGCCGGTTGGCCTTCGTGGGACTGTCATAGGAATCAAAGGGGGTAATACCTCAGTGCCTCCTGTCTTCAGCCACACTTGTATTGCAGGTCCATATATGGGGACGGGAAGGTCGCAGCTCAAGGTGTAGTAAGTAGGAAATCATAACTGCCAAATTAAACGGAAGGTTGTGATCACCTTTCCTGGGGAGTTTATCTCCTAAGGCATTTCTGTTTCTTAACTTACACGATACTGATTGGTGTATTGTCATTCTTCATGTCCACCAATTTTTTGGTGATGAGGGTTTGAAACAGGGTCTTGCTTTCTTGCAGATTGACTTAAATTCCTGATCCTCCTCCTTTAGTTTCCCAAGCCCTGGGATTATAGGCATTCACTACACACTGGGTCATATCCAGAATATTTATGTTTTTTGTTTGTTTTTGCTGGTCCTGGAGCTTGAAGTCAGGGCCTGGCACTGTCCTTGAACTTCTCTATGCTTAAGGCTGGTGCTATACCACTTCAGTCACAATGCTACTTCTGGCTTTTTCTGTTTATGTGGTATTGAGGAATCGAACTCAGGGCTTCATGCATGCTACACAAGCACTACCACTAAGCCACATTCCCAGCCCCTTTTTTAATGGATTTTTAAGAGAAATAAATACCCTAATATGTACTCCAAAACCTTACTACTGATTTTTGATCAGTCTCTCTGTCTCTCCCACTCCCTCCCTCTGCCCATCTCTATCTCTCTCACAGCCAGTAGAGAAGCTGATATACTGTTTGAAGTATTATTTGATGAAGAATTTCATGGAGGCCTAACAATAAGGTAAGGTTTGTATTTCCAGATAACAACCATTCTTTTTTTTTTTTAATTGTGAAAATACTGTATAGAGGGGTTACAATTACATGGGCAAGGCAATGAGTACATTTCTTACCAAGCATTGTTACCTCCTCCTATGTTTCCCCTTCCCATCCCTACCCCATTCCTCCTCCCCCTCCTTGTACCAAAGTTGTAAAGTTCATTTTTCAACATAACATCTTGTACATCTCATTGTTACAATGGGTCCACCTGTATCCCTATTTAAACAATTTGTTTTTTCCCTTCCCCTCCACAAATTATACTAACATCAAATACAGTGAAAACAGGGGTTGTACCGTGGGGGAGCAACCATTCTTTATCGCAGATTAAGGAGATTCTCAGACTTCCCTTCCCAGTCTGGATTTGAACCACAATCCTCAGATCTCACCCTCCTGAGTAGCTAGGATGACAGGCATGAGCCACCAGCGTCCAGCTTTCCCTAAATTTTTGTGAAGAGAAAATAAAATCTTTTCCTGTTTCCTTCCTCCCTTCTAAAAGTTATCTGGAAACCTGAAGTAAACTTACTCGGTTTCTTTTTCTCCTCTTTTTGTTGCTAGGCAATTACAAGTAAAAATCATTCTTTTAGGGGCTGGGGATGTGGCTCAGTGGTAGAGTGCTTGTCCAGCATGCATAAAGCCATGGGTTTGATTCCTTAGTACCACATAAGCAGAGAGGTGGAAGTGGCAATGTGGCTCAAGTGGTAGAGTGCTAGCCTTGACCAAGAAAAGCTCAGGGACAGTGCCCAGGCCCTGGGTTCAAGCCCCAGGACTGGCAAAAACAAAAGCAAAAAATAGCTAGGCTCTGATGGCTCATGTCTATAATCCTAGCAACCCAGGAGGATGAGATCTGAAGACCACAGTTAAAAGCCAGCCTGGGCAGGAAAGTCCATGAGACTCCTATCTCTAATTAACCACCAGAAAACCAGAAGTGATACTGTGGCTCAAAGTGGTAGAGTGCTCCAAGCCTTGAAGTAAAATAGCTCAAAAATAGCACCCAGGCCCCAAGTTCAAGCCCCATGACATACATACATACATATGTACATTTTAGCCTCCTTGCTTGAAATCACTGCTTTCAGTCATTATACCATGTGGTCCTCAGGGTGCTATGACTGTTCTGTGCCTGGAATACATTGCCCAAACTCCTCCTGCCTGTGCACTTCAAATGCAACCAAAGAATCCAGACCTTCCCTGCTTTTATTTTTCATCAAAATGTTTGATTAGCAGTAACTTTTACGCTTTAATTTCCATATGTGTTGGTGGTGGTGGTTGGTTGGGGGTTTTTTGAGATTGAAGCTCAAGTATTTATTAGTTCTGATGATGGTGTTCCATCCCAGAATTACTTACCTTCTAGCACATTTAGTATTATTTCCTTCTGACTCTAATTTTTAGGTGCTCACCTGGTAGAGGTTACCGGCTGCCAACAAGTGCCTTGGTGAACCTTTCTCATGGGAATCGCTCTGAAACTGGAAACCAGAAGTTGACTGCTATCGTGAAACCCCAGCCAGCTGTGACCCCGTGTAGCTCAAATTCATCAGTTTCATCGGGGCATTTAGGGGGCCTCAACCATTCTCCTCAATCACTTTTTGTTCCTACTCAAGTAAGTCTCTCAGTCTTACTTCTCCTTACTGTCTTTACAAATCATAAATCATTGAGGACTTTCTAAGTGGAAACCTAATTTGGCTTCCTGGCCACTGTCCTTGAGCTTCTTTAGCTCAAGGCTAGCTCTCTACCACTTGAGCCACAGCACCACTTCCACCTTTTTCTGCTTATGTGGTGCTAAGGAATTGAACCCAGGGCTTCATGCATGCAAGGCAAGCACTCTACCACTAAGCCACATTCCCAGCCCTTTTTTTTCCCCTTATTTTTAATGTAACTATTTTGTCATGTTCCATTAAGAAATTATTTGTGCTCTATTAGGTACCTGTTAAAGGTGATGATGAATTTTCTAACATTTGGCAGTCCTTACAAGGATCGGGAAAAATTCAACACTTCCAGCCAGCTCTTCAAGAGAAGGTTAGTACTTTTTGATGGACAATTAAAGACATTTTTTTTCTTTGACAGTTGTGGGCTTAAACTCAGGGCATGGCTACTGTCCCTGAACTTTTTTTTTCCTCCCCAAGTCTAACACTCTTAACAACTTTGAGCTATAGCTCCACATCTGGTTTTCTAGTGTTTAACTGGAAATAATAGTTTCATGAACTTCGTTACCCAGGCTGGCTTCAAACCATGATCCTCAGATCTCAGACAACTAAGTAGCTTAGATTACAGGCATGAGATCCCAGCGCCCAGTTTCTTTATTTCTTCAATGAGTATTTATCCCCTGAAATCTCATAAAAATAGAAAACACCAATTTTGATCATGAGTTTTTCACAATTCTTTTCAGACTTATATAAAACTTTGGGCCAATGAATGAAAATATATTTTTCTTTTAAATTAGCTTTGGATAGTTTAGATTTTTACAGTCACTTTAATTATATTTTAAGTTGAACACATGTCTTAGGGATTCTCATTAACTTAATCTTTTTCCACTGGAATATATCATGTATTAGCACTTGGTTTTCTTAAATATGAATGAACAAATTTACATACAACTCTAGCTATTAAGAAGTGCACAGAGGACTGGGCTGGGCTATAGCTTATGACAGTGCTTCCCTAGACTTCCCATCACTGCAGAGCAAACCAAGAAGAAAGAACTTCGCTAGTACAGACTCAGAGCAAAAGCGAACCTAGGCCAGGCATCAGTACCTTACACCTGTAGTCTTAGATACTCAGGCTAAGATCTGAGGATCGCAGTTCAAAGCCAGCTCAGATAGGAAAGTCTCTGAAGCTCTTCACTAAACTATCAAAAAAGCCAGAAGTGGCGCTGTGGCTCCAAGTAGTAGAGCACTAGCTTTGAGCAAAAGAAGCCCAGATACAGTGCCCAGGCCCTGAGTTCAAGCACTGGAACTGGCACCATAAAACAAACAAATAATACTTGTGTGATTATCATTACATGATTGGTTATTATTTATGTTGGTGAAGTTGGGGTAGTTTTTTTAATTCTGTTTATTTTTTTCTCTGAAGTTTTTTTCCTAATGACCCTACATAATTTTTCCCCCCATCAGTTGTGGAGCTTGAACTCTGGGCCTGGGCGCTGTCTCTCAGCTCTTCAGTTCAAGGCCCGAGATCTACCACTTGAGCCACAGCACCACTTCTGGTTTTCTGGTGGTTTATTGGAGATAAAGAGTCTCACAGACTTTCCGGCCTGGGCTGGCTTTGAACTGTGATCCTCAGACCTCAGCCTCCTGAGTAGCTAGGATGATGGGCGTGAGCCACCGGCGCCAGGCCTACATAATTTTTTCAAAATTAATAACTTGAGGGCTGGGAAGGTGGCTCAGTGGTAGAGCGCTTGCCTTGCATGCCCGAGGCCCTGGGTTCGATTCCTCAACACCACATAAGCAAAAAGAAAAAAGC